ACATGCATATCTTATTTAATTTATATTGCTATCTAAACAAACAAAAGAATTGTCTATTTAAATTACAATATAAATATAGTAATATTTTCAAACTCTATGAATACATATACGGAACAGAAAACAGCATCTCTTATGCAACCACTTTATGATACATAATATATATACAAACTCATGTTTTCCTCAATAAAATATCCCTCGATACAAAAAAGAATACTAAAATATTTTTTCATTACTTCAGTAATTAATTACATAACAAATAATAAATTTACAAAAAAAAATCTTTACAATCAAAATAAAACTCTCTATATATATTTTATACAATCAAGTCAAAATCTTTATAAAATATGCTATGACTAGTAAACCACCACATTTTACAATTAACTGATAATTTTAAATAAATGTCAAAGCAACAAAAACAAATCTAACTCCAGATTGTAAGCAACAAAAATTCTCATCAATGTTACACACAAATATTTACACTAAGTAAAATATAAACAACATTTTATTGAGAAATCATGATTGCACAACTAAACAAAAATACACTATTCTAAAAATCTTAAAAGTACAGATAGATTTTTCATATCAGATATTTTGGGAGACTACTTTGTAAGATAATTAATGCACATCAATACTTAGAAGACAAAGAATCTTAATTTTTTTAACTGCAGCTGATAGTAAAGGTTTCAATATTTTCACTTGATTATGTAACATAAAAATGCAATTAATAAATTATTAACTTAATAGAATTTTTTACAGCTTACCATTTATCATTTAATGCAAAAATAATAATGCATTTGGCAACATCTTACAAGAGAATTTACTTCATATACATTTAAATGTAAAACATACATAATAAGATTAACAAGTCATAAGCAAAAATCCTCTAAGTGAATTCAGTGGATTTCATTACCAGCAAAATAAAAGCAGGAAGAACAGGCTAAAGACAATTAATGAGTTTAAAAAAAAAGTAAAATTCACATAAAATTTGAAATAAATTAGGAATAAAAATTTTTATCATCTTTAATTTATAAATTAGAAAACAAAGTATATTTTATAAGAGCTTTTAAAACATCTTCATTACTTTTAAACACGGTAATAAGGATAATAATTTAAATACCAATAACAGTATCTTATCTAGGATAAGAATCAATTCTCATTGCTTAATAACAAAAGCTGGCTTTCACTTAGAAGCTCATATTACCCTTTTCAGAATTTATACAAACAAAAGGTAAATTCATCCTTGTCCTAGTTTCTAAGCAAGATGAATGAAATATAAAATTTCCATTGAGATTTTACATACTTTTGTTTCTGCTTTTACTTAAGCCTCTGTTTCATTATCATTCTCTGCTTGCGAGTGATAATGGAACACAGGCTAATGAAACTATAAACTGCTTCACTAATAAAAGTATAAATGCACTTTCACAAAACTTCCACATGAATTATAAAAAAAAAAATTATATGAACGAAATGCATCAATCAGCAATGTAAAATTATACAAGTTAATGCTGATCCAAACTGGGGGTAATTATTTTAAAAACAATGCATTAACTAGTACACTAAATTATACAAGTAATGTTATTCAGTCTACTAAATTCCAAACTGGTGGTAGTCACTTTGAAAATGATACATTAACAATGACATAAAGAGTCATATGCTGTGCCAATAAATAATTCATAAGCCATTCTTTATTAGTAATGCTTTCTGCATGAAGTAAATACACTTTGAAGGAAATTTAATTATGCTTCAAACTGCAGTGATATTTTCCATTTCAATAATTTATACATTGCAATTCATTAAATTCTCCTAACATACAAAAAAGACTACAAAATAAAAATCTTCAGAATAATTGTAGAAAAATAAACATTATTAAACATTAAAAAATCAGAAAGCTTCCTAAAATTAGATTTATAAAATCAATTACAAAGCTTTTTTATACTATAATGACACAGTTATACACAATAATATTGCATAAATGTTTGAGGCAAAGTAACATTTAATAATACATTTTTACAGAATATGTATTCCATGCAGATATACCAAGCATTATGATAAAAAATGTCAACACTTTTGTATTTTAAATTAATCTTAATAACAAAAGCTGGCTTTCACTTAGAAGCTCATATTACCCTTTTCAGAATTTATACAAACAAAAGGTAAATTCATCCTTGTCCTAGTTTCTAAGCAAGATGAATGAAATATAAAATTTCCATTGAGATTTTACATACTTTTGTTTCTGCTTTTACTTAAGCCTCTGTTTCATTATCATTCTCTGCTTGCGAGTGATAATGGAACACAGGCTAATGAAACTATAAACTGCTTCACTAATAAAAGTATAAATGCACTTTCACAAACTTCCACATGAATTATAAAATTCAAAAAATTAATGAACGAAATGCATCAATCAGCAATGTAAAATTATACAAGTTAATGCTGATCCAAACTGGGGGTAATTATTTTAAAAACAATGCATTAACTAGTACACTAAATTATACAAGTAATGTTATTCAGTCTACTAAATTCCAAACTGGTGGTAGTCACTTTGAAAATGATACATTAACAATGACATAAAGAGTCATATGCTGTGCCAATAAATAATTCATAAGCCATTCTTTATTAGTAATGCTTTTGAGTAATTGTGAGTAAATACACTTTGAAGGAAATTTAATTATGCTTCAAACTGCAGTGAGTGATATTTTCCATTTCAATAATTTATACATTGCAATTCATTAAATTCTCCTAACATACAAAAAAGACTACAAAATAAAAATCTTCAGAATAATTGTAGAAAAATAAACATTATTAAACATTAAAAAATCAGAAAGCTTCCTAAAATTAGATTTATAAAATCAATTACAAAGCTTTTTTATACTATAATGACACAGTTATACACAATAATATTGCATAAATGTTGAGGCAAAGTAACATTTAATAATACATTTTTACAGAATATGTATTCCATGCAGATAATACCAAGCATTTATGATAAAAAATGTCAACACTTTTGTATTTTAAATTAATCTTAATAACAAAAGCTGGCTTTCACTTAGAAGCTCATATTACCCTTTTCAGAATTTATACAAACAAAAGGTAAATTCATCCTTGTCCTAGTTTCTAAGCAAGATGAATGAAATATAAAATTTCCATTGAGATTTAATACTTTTGTTTCTGCTTTTACTTAAGCTCTGTTTCATTATCATTTCCTGCTTGCGAGTGATAATGGACACAGGCTAATGAAACTATAAACTGCTTCACTAATAAAAGTATAATGCACTTTCACAAACTTCCACATGAATTATAAATTCAAAAAATAATGAACGAAATGCATCAATCAGCATGTAAAATTATACAAGTTAATGCTGATCCCAAAACTGGGGGGTAATTATTTTAAAAACAATGCATTAACTAGTACACTAAATTATACAAGTAATGTTATTCATCTACTAAATTCCAAACTGGTGGTAGTCACTTTGAAAATGATACATTAACAATGACATAAAGAGTCATATGCTGTGCCAATAAATAATTCATAAGCCATTCTTTATTAGTAATGCTTTCTGCATGAAGTAATACACTTTGAAGGAAATTTAATTATGCTTAAAACTGCAGTGATATTTTCCATTTCAATAATTTATACATTGCAATTCATTAAATTCTCCTAACATACAAAAAAGACTACAAAATAAAAATCTTCAGAATAATTGTAGAAAAATATAAACATTATTAAAACATTAAAAAATCAAAAGCTTCCTAAAATAGATTTATAAAATCAATTACAAAGCTTTTTTATACTATAATGACACAGTTATACACATAATATTGCATAAATGTTGAGGCAAAGTAACATTTAATAATACATTTTTACGAATATGTATTCCATGCAGATAATACCAAGCATTTATGATAAAAAATGTCAACACTTTTGTATTTTAAATAATCTTAATAACAAAAGCTGGCTTTCACTTAGAAGCTCATATTACCCTTTTCAGAATTTTATACAAACAAAAGGTAAATTCATCCTTGTCCTAGTTTCTAAGCAAGATGAATGAAATATAAAATTTCCCATTGAGATTTTACATACTTTTGTTTCTGCTTTACTTAAGCCTCTGTTTCATTATCATCTCTGCTTGCGAGTGATCATGGAACACAGGCTAATGAAACTATAACTGCTTCACTAATAAAAGTAAAATGCACTTTCACAAACTTCCACATGAATTATAAAATTCAAAAATTAATGAACGAAATGCATCATCAGCAATGTAAAATTAACAAGTTAATGCTGATCCAACTGGGGGGTAATTAATTTTAAAAACAATGCATTAACTAGTACACTAAATTATACAAGTAATGTTATTCAGTCTACTAAATTCCAAATGGTGTAGTCACTTTGAAAATGATACATTAACAATGACATAAAGAGTCATATGCTGTGCCAATAAATAATTTAAGCCATTCTTTATTAGTAATGCTTTCTGCTGAAGTAAATACACTTTGAAGGAAATTTAATTATGCTTCAAACTGCAGTGATATTTTCCATTTCAATAATTTATACATTGCAATTCATTAAATTCTCCTAACATACAAAAAAGACTACAAAATAAAAATCTTCAGAATAATTGTAGAAAAATAAACATTATTAAACATTAAAAAATCAGAAAGCTTCCTAAAATTAGATTTATAAAATCAATTACAAAGCTTTTTTATACTATAATGACACAGTTATACACAATAATATTGCATAAATGTTGAGGACAAAGTAAACATTTAATAATACATTTTTACAGAATATGTATTCCATGCAGATAATACCAGCATTTATGATGTAAAAAAATTCAACACTTTGTATTTTAAATGTTGTTACCTTCTTAAAGCTAATGCTAAACATATTTTTTTAAGTTACAGAAAAGAAAAATATAAAACTATAGTTACTTGAAGGAAATATTCTACACAGTTGCAAAGCCTGCAATATATATATATATATATATATATATATATATATATATAAAAACCTCTTTGAAAACATACTTCACTATAATATATAGCTTAGTAAAAAGTCTACTAAAAACTTTCAATCTTCTACTTCATTTTTTGTATAAGAAGTTTAACCTACTTGCATTTTTATTTCATAAAAAGGTTATGCCGAAAACAATTACAAAATTGTATAAAGCCATTAAAAATTTTAAATGCAAAGTTATGTTGGTCCATAACAAATGAAGTAATAAGTATTAAAAAAGCAGGTGTTCATCATTTCTTCATTCCTAAAAAAGAAAAACACTATAATTAATAGTTTGTAATGAGTCTTCTAAATAATTTATATATTAATCATTTGAAAAGGTACAGAATAAGCTTGGTACGTACACTGATGACAAAAAAGCAAATATGAATTTCATAATAAATAACTTTTTCCCCACCTCTGGCCCATTTTCCAAAAGATAACAAAACTGCAAAATTATTTATCACAAAATTAACTGAGATTTTAACTTTTATTCAGTTAATTCCAATAAATATGTAAAGATACATAATACCTTAAAAAGACAACTAAGAACATTTTTTCGCAGAGTGACATCCATGTTCATTATATTATCTAACTGAAGAGGGAAATGAAGGTAGGATTGTACTCATGATGGAATGTCCCCCCCCCAAATGCATTTAACATGTTCCTTCACATAAAGAGAGCCTGGAAACTTCAATTTCAACAACTAAACCCATGTAATGCATAAAAATTAATTTTAAAATTAATTTAACTATACATTCACTGAACTAAACTTTCTATTACTGAAGGCGCCAGACAAAATAAAAAGTAAACTCTTGAGAGAAAAAAAAAATTAAATTCTCTTACACTATTGTGAAACTAGATGATGGATCTAAACTTAATTAATTCAATAAATGTGTAACTTTAAGAGTAAATTAATTCATTCAGATTCATTAAATCAATAACACAAAGGTAAAGAGAGATAAATCTTCACCAGTGCCTTGGTTTAAAAATCAGAACATATATTTCTATAAAAATTAAAATCATTTCATTACCAAATTCTATAAATATGCTGTCTCCCATAATAATTTATACCAGGGATGGCCAAACTTCAAGATTATGGGAGCAGTGTTGCCAGAAATTTTTCAACTAATGTAGCAAAGGAAGACTCAAAAAGTCGCAAATGATGTCAGAGATCAAGTGATTTTTGTGACGTCATAGTTACTTTGAACCTTAGCCGCTATAATTACGTATCTAACAAAAATTTTAAAACTAGTATATTGCTCATTTTCAATTGTTTAAATATCCATTCCTTTTGTGATTAATTCTCATTTAAATTAGATTTCTGTTTTTAAATTAAATTGTAAGATATTCTTCACGTTTAGATTGTAAGCTCTTTTGTACTAATATTTTTGAGATAGCAGTTAATTTTTTTTTTAATCCAGTGTGTTTTTTTGGGGGGGGGGGGGTTGGGGTTGTTGTTTTTGTTTAATTGTAAACATTTTGACTGAGTAAAGTTTTTCAGTGAGTTTTCCATTCTGGGTGGTGGACTTATTTCAGATTCTGATTAGTTATGAAAGCCTTGTTTGTTCTTTCAGCACAAGCTGCAAGTTTTTTTTGTTCGATTCTTTACCACCATAGAACAAATGTGGGGGAGGGCTGTCTTAAAAAAAAAAATTTGTAGAGCGTAAAATCATGAATATTTTATTTAAGGTGATTAATTCTGTGTTTTACAAAGCATTTTATGATACATTAAAAAAAATCTTTGATGTCATAAAAAGTAGCATAAGAAAATGATGGAGGTCACAAAAATTTCGCAAAATCGCAAATACGAAAATTTTAGTAGCACAAGTTTCTCAAAAGTCACAAATTTGTAAAAAATCTCACAAACTGGCAGCACTGGGAGTCGCATGATAGATTTTATGAATGTTCGAGATCCAGAAGTCCAAATTTATATCACTTCAAAAATAATGAGACAAGTTTGGAATATAAGGAAACTTTTGAAGTAAATTATTGAATACGAGATTAACATGATTACATTGTAAATATGAATAAATACATTTTATATCTACTGTTTTGTATTCATCAAAGTTAAGTCTCAAGAAAATAAAAGTTTGTAACTCTCGTACAGTCAAAAGTCGTTAATTCGGACTCGTCGGGACTTCGGCGATTCCGGATTATAGATCATCAGTTTAAATCTGGTAAGATGGCATGCAGAAATTATAAAATTAAAAATATGAAACCGTAATTTATGAAATAAAGAACAATTATGATCTAAAGGGTATCAAAATTTACAAAAAAAAAAAGCTTAATATTTATTTGTTTACTTTATTAAACATTTCTTTCAATGTAAGTTGTTTAATTTGCTTCATTTTTTATGTGATAATACAATTCTCTTTAATTCTTTAAACAGACATAATTTCTTGTTTAGTTACAAAGTTCCGCTGTTCAAGTCCTATAATTGCTGTGTCGAGAATACCGACTAATTTGTCAATTGAAATTTTTTCGTTTTTATAACCTCTGTTACTTTCTCCGCTATTAGAAGCGAATTATAATGACAAGGAATTTGATTTAAATCATATCAAAGATGGAGTACATCGAGATGAAATACTACATTTAATAAGGAATTATAAGCCAAATAAAATAAAAACATCTGCCCTGAAGATAAGGATAGTGCTGACACATCAACTTCCAATTCATTGCGCAGTGCCGCCGCAGCGTTAAAGATAAACAAAGTTTACATAAACAAACATTAAAGTTTAGGTAAACAAAGGATATGCCTTTATCCATTTTTTGTATAATGAACTTCGAAACATATTTTCGCTTTGTAGATCATTTACATATTAATAAATATATATCAGAAATTCTATTTAACATAATCGAAAGTTCAAGCTTACTTTTATAAAATTGCTCTAACAGTCTGCAAAAAATAATAAGCCGGATCCAATTCGAAGATTAAGGAACAACGCAATCTGCAACATTAACTGAAATAGATAATTAAATAATTTTAGCTTATCTTATACCATCCGTTATACATTAAACGCGCACTCGTAAACGTATTTTGCGCACGCGCACAAGCATATTCTCAGCTGCGACGCATGCGCAGAAATTTTGAAGCTTTGAGGTCTGGATTATAGATCATTCCAGATTATGGGTGTCCGAATTAACGACTTTTGACTGTACTGTGAAACTGAGCGTTTTTCTCTTCAGGTAGAAAAAGCAAATACAGTCAAAAGTCTTTAATCCGGACGTCCATAATCCAGACCTCAAAGCTACAAACTTTCTACGCATGTGTAAATGCATAATGCCTTTACACATGTACGTAATACATTTATGCATGCGCACATGTGTCTACATGTGCACATAATACCTTTACGCATGTTCGTTTAATGTATAAGGCACGGTATAAGCTAAGCGAAATATTAGCTAATTATCTATTTTCAGTTAATGTTGTAGATTGCATTGTTCCTTAATCTTTAATTGGATCCAGCTATTATTTTTTGCAGACTGTTACAGCAATTTTATAAAAGTAAGCTTGAACTTTCGATTATGTCAAAAAGAATTTCCGATTCTGGAGCTGGCCAAAGGATCTACAAAGTGGAAAGCATGTTTTCGATGTCCATCAAACAAAAAGTGGAATTGCTGCAAAAAATGGATAAAGGCATATCCTTTGTTTCTCTAACCATTCCGAAATCTGTTTATCAATTTCACGCTGCTCTGCAGGGAACAGGGGGGTCACAGCGCGGCGCACAATGAACTGGAAGTTCATCTGTCAGCACTATCCTTATCTTCAGAGCAGATGTTTTTATTTTATTTGGCTTATAATTCCTTACTAAATGTAGTATTTCATCTCGATGTACACCGTCTTTGATATGATTTAAATCAAATTCCTCGTCATTATAAATATCACGAATACACATCAAATAGTTTTCTGGTTGCAATTTTCTAATTTCTACTATGTGTAATGTATGCTTTACGCATGCGCACGTTGAAAGAAATGTTTAATAAAGTAAACAAATAAATATTAAGCTTTTTTTTTTTTTGTAAATTTTGATACCCTTTAGATCATAATTGCTCTTTATTTCATAAATTACGGTTTCTATTTTTAATTTTATAATTTCTGCATGCCTTCTTACCAGATTTGAACTGATGATGTATAATCCGAAAAAAACTGATAATCCGGAATCGCCGACTGTATTTTTTTCTGATTCCCTTTATAATTATTGTTGTTTGATTTTAGTAGAAGTAAACCAAATCACATGCATATTCACTGGTCTACAATTATATAAAATGTGTTATTTGAGTAAATTAAAAATCATTATTTAAAAGAAAATTTAGTGTTTTTTAAACTCAAGAGCACTCCTTTTAGAAAAGATAAATTAAATGGTACATGTCAATGCACACTGCAGAGAAACTTATTTGAAAAAGAGCATTTATTTAAAAATAAGCTATTAACTTTTTTAGGATTTTACTTAAAAAGTAATTTTGTTTCTCCATACAATTAACATAACATAAGGACCAACATACTAAGATGATTCGAATCTTTGGATCCTAACGTAAGAAATCAAACAATTTTCCCCCAAACTTTGGAATAACTACTTTTACTGATGCCCAGTATAGAAGAATTCACCCAAAAAAAAATAAAATTATTGCAATTTCAGTGGTATTTCAATAATCAGTATCTCTGATAACGACCCTGACTGATACAGTATTTCAGCGTGGCATCCAACGGAATGTACCAGAATTTTTTAGTAATCAGTGATGCAAAAGCAAAGTTTAAAGTTATAAAAACATTTAGCAGAAGTAGCAATAGGAGCTCCCTAAGGTTATATATACTATGCAGACATTGAAGACAAAAGTTTTAAACTTAACCAATTTATTTAACACATATGTAAAAATAAAAAACACAATGAATAATTTAATCAATATCAGAAAGCTTAAAGAGTGTAACATAAACATTATCAAAAATTACACTTAGTTGATCATTCATTAACCCCAAGGGTTTTTCCTTTAAAGAATATTACACTATTAATGATACAGTAAATATTTTACCTGATCTTTAAATACTGGCATTCAATTTGCGAAAAACGTATCACAGAACAGAAACTATGCAGTTATTATGAAATTCACTTCACTATCAATAGGTCCATGCTTTTTGGCCAAGAAGGCAGCTGAAAAATTAAACTAAACCTTGAGTGCACTTAAACCGGCAAAAGCCACTCACTGTAGTTACACATGACAGATCACAGCTTGGAAAAACATCGCCGCTAATCCTGTAAAAACACT